CTTTTCTAGCCTCTATCGTGTAGTCTTTTGCATGTAGGCGCCACATTGTAACTATTGTGCATTGAGTCTGTTCCACGTTATCCAGACCCTTAAAGTAGAACACTTTTTGTGTACTTCGCAATTAAACCCCTTGACTCAACTGAAAAATTGTCTACACATTTTCCGGCACAGAGTCAATCAAATTGGCCACCTAATACTGTCGCTTTAGGCGCAAGTGGTAGATATTTTTGGCCAGAACAATTATTTCTCACAGTTCTCTTTTCAGATGCTTCGTGCCTCAATTGGCGCTTGCAATGACGTCCGCTGGCGCAATTAAGCCGCCTTGTGCTCATTCTGACCGGCCTTTGGGTCAAAGCAATTTGGGCACATTCATTTATGCTAGCGTGATTGTATCCAAAACTGCAGTCAGCGTCAAGATCTCTCTGCAATCTGGCCGGCCTTTCTCTCTATCCTTTCTGTTCGTGATAGGAAGTCCAACTCATCGTGTTCCACCTCATTCTCGAGTGCGACAGGATTGTCCCGTTTCTAAGATGCCGGCCACCTCTACTCACAAGTAGGCTTGTTTTCCATGCATGACATGCGTCAACCGTTCTTCATTCATTCATTCTTCTTCGGGTGGAGAGATTCGTGTCCAGCCCAACTCGTTCACCAAAGTCATCGAGTCCTCTTTGCTATTGTAGACTCTGGTAGGCATTCTAGTTGATAGCGCATGCATCGGACCCATTTAAAGCCAACTGGAGTATGCTGTACTCGTTAAGGTCGCTGCAGTCCTCGAGAGGCCAACTTGACTTGCTGGTGGCTCTATTCTTCAACGCATAAAGCTGATATGCGGCCAGTTGATGTCCGCATGCAGCCGACAATGTTTGCGACTATTTTTCGACTTAGCGTTGGGCCAAACAAGCGTTTGTGCTTCAAATGAAGATGTTCTCGATTGAGTCGTCTTATGAAAAAACACTTCTTGAATAATAATAATAATTGGATCTTCTGATCCGACGTTATGAGTTCTCTGGGGAACCGTGTCCAAGTCGGTTTAGGGGCCTGAAATTGTCAAGAAGACTAAAATAAGTGAGTATCCTTCGTTTGGTTCGAAGAGGTGAGTGTAAGGGATTCGCAAGTCGGTCTCATCAGAAGTCGAGGGCAGATGGCTTTAGGACTCTGACTAGATTTTTGTTCACCGTCGGTTCGCCGTCCAGCGAGCCAAAAAGGTCCTTGATAAACTTTAGTCCGTCATGTGGTTGATCGACCAACTTTGTCAGAGCACAACATGCTTTACCGTAATTCATCGAGCGTGGCCATATTTCTTTTGGTGATTTGCTAAATTATCGTAAAGCATTGTGTCCCATTCTGACGATGTCTGTTACATGATGAATGAAAGGTCAGCAAGGCTTCCTCGCGAATGCGGGATGGTGAGCCGAGGTCTTAGTCTAAAAAAGGTACATCTCATACAGCTTCCGGTGAAGCCGACTTACAAATCCCTTTCACTCAACCTTTCAAACGAAATGAAAGGTACTCCGACATCATCTGATCTAATTCCATTTCTGAGGAAACGAAAAAAAACGACATAAATAATAACCTAAATGATAATAATATTTTTTAGAGTTTGAGAAACCAATGATATATTACATATTAATTAATCTTGATCTCATCTTATCTTTTCTTTACTTCTCTTATCTTATCTTATCTTTTCTTATTTCATCTTATCTCCTCTTATGCCAATCGACCATTTTTAGTCAGTTACTTTTATTTCCAGTCGAAGTGAT